ACTGAGAATGGGCTGCAAAAGGCCTCAAGACCATTCTCTTTTGGCTTCTGTCTCTGCCGGGAGGAAAACGCTCATATTCCTTTCCTGAAGGCCCTTTGAAAAGGCTTTTAAAGTGAGGCAAGCAGCTTTCTACTGCTACTGGATATTGCATCCTCTTTGCTTATATTCCACTCTTCTAGCAGCCTATCACATTCAGAAGTAGAAAGTGTTCACACTCAGTTAGAGTGGATTCAGTGAGCCTTGTGTGCCTACAGCTGCTGGTAAGAGCTTCTCTATCTCCTAGGTATAAGTTTTGGTGAGTCTGGACATTATTTATTTGAAAAGGAAGTCATTGGTAGAATGTCAGATCCCATGGACTGATAGAGTCCTAAACCTGCAACAAGCTTTGTCTTACTCTCTCCTAATCTCTGCAAGCTTTATGGACTGCAGAAGCTAATCGTGGACAATATAAGTAAAGCTATACATTCACGAATGATTTACAATTGATTGGGAAGTTATATTCATGCACACTTCCAGGGAAGCAAATCCTGACAGCTCCAATTAAGAGACACAAACCACTGTCTAAAGAGCAGCAGGGAGAGAACAAAATATAACATTCTCACATTCTTCTAAAAAATTGCAAAAAACTTCCTTCCCCCCAAAATCCCACCTTTTTATTGCAGAAAGAAGCCTTTTTACTGACATTGAGTACCGCAACAAATGAAGCGGAACACTGGCCATTTACACCTATTCTCGCCAGCACACACCTTTTTCAGCACCTAAACTGAGCTGCTGCCAGGCACACAGTGCCACAGCCTGCTTCAGGTAAGCAGCCCTGCGCTAACCAAGGAGTTCAGACTGATACACGCTTCACTTGGTGGTTTTACAGGAAACCCGTTGTGCAGGTTTTTTTCCACTTGATACTAGGTCCCTAGGGGAAAGAGAAAACTTAAAAAGCCCAATCTAAATTCAGCTGCAGGAGGTAGCTTTTAATTGCACTTTGGATCAATAGAGAAGCAATCTAACACCTGCTCTTGGTTACTAGGCAGGGGTTTGTACTTTTCCAGACAATCTTCCCCTGCTTTTCAGATGTTCCCTTTTCCTTATTTGCTCACACAATCTGGATTCTTCACAATTTAGTGCAGAACAAAGCATTCATATCATTAGAGAACATAACAGATTATATAGCTGTGCCACAGATTTTGGTACCTTATCAGCAGCAATAGCATGTTTAGTAAGTAGTCTCAACATTTCAGCAGTCTAAAGTACTAGGAAAGTGTCAAAAATAGCACTATCGTATCCTTATAGCCTGTACTGAAGTGATAGGTGTACACAAGTACTTAATGGGTGTCAAGTATCATTTTATTTCATTTCCCAGCTGTATGAAACTAAAAGCAGGCCAAAAGGTAGACAGACTTTAATAAAGCTCCATCCAGAATTCTCCTTCTATCAAGAGAAAATGCGTTATTGTAGCCCTCTTGTGTTCAGCTGGATTAACAGCTATTAGATCCATAGTGTCCTTCCTTCCGACCCCTTAAATCAACGCTCTGCATGCTTTAACCACACTGCCATTCAGTTCTTTGTCCTCTCCACCTTCCCTCAGTTTCTTTCATGTTTCTCCTCTTTCCACTCTGGTTGTAAAATGTAAGCATATTCAGACTGTGCTTCTGAAACAGCAGAGTGCTTGGTTGGTATATCCACACCGTAACACAAGACAAATGCTGTTTTGGAGTAGGGTGACTAAAACATCCCTCATTGCCTGTAAGCATGCTTATATTCCCAGCATTTCTTCTCCATAAAAGGACTGTAATGAACAGAATTTAGAGCCTTGTTTCCCTCTTTTAGACAATGCCTATGAGATCAAGTTTTAAATTAGTGTCCCACAGACACCATTTAGACACGCGCAATGTTTCTCTACCCTTACAGAAATCACCCTGACATTTTCCAAAACCTATAAGTACTATTCACGGTTTTATCGATCCCAGACCTTCCCTACCAATCACCAAGACTGAAAACTCTGGTGTCCACCACTTAGCTGAGACACTGCACAGTCATGGTTGTAAGAGGCAGTGGCTTTTACAGTATTCTTTTCCAACTTGCAAAGGCTGTAGCAAACAGAAGTTATGGCTGAATTGCTATAGGTGCTTAATGCCATGGAGTCTTGTAACTGAGGATGAGGTAAGAGGTTGTTTCCTAAAAGGCACTCACCTTCCACGTCTGCTGCTTCAGTCATCCTTGATTTGGCCACTGCAAGACCAGCTCACTGTCACAGATCAGGAAGCTCAGGCAAGCAGTTCAGTTGTGCTTCAAAAGCTGCAATCACCTGTCTCAAGGAGCCAAACTCCAACATGGACTTGCTGCTGCAGAGGAAACCTGGAGGAGGAGCCATAAACTAAGAGAGAAAGAAGGAGAAATGAGAACAAAGGACAGTACTAGAACAGAAAAATAGCTATGGCTTAGCAGCAGCAACAACAAGGAATATTAGCAAGCAGTACCCACTCTTCATCAGCAACACAGAGGTACACTTCAGTTCAGGAAAAGAGTTTTGACAGATGCATATAGATTTTGAGAGCTGCTGAAACCATAAGGAAAACAGGCTTCAGAAAGAATAATCAATATAGATAGAGTCATGGTATCTTCTTTATTTGAAGGACAGCTACAGTAGCAAAGCTAGGAGCAAGTTAAACCCTATTCTGTGTCTTAAAAAAAAAGATGAAGGGAAGAAAAGCATGCACCTCTATAACATTTGATATTGTGAGCCAGTTTCCTGAAGAACAGGGTAATATGAAGTATTTCAGAGGAAAAATGGAAAGTCCATGTATAAAAATACAGATGGGAAATCCTACAGTCAATCTGTATTTCTACATAAATTTATTCTGGTTTTGAGCTGGATAAATGTAAGAGATACCTAAGCCTCTGGGCATCTCACAGAAAGCATGATTGACCAGGGCCTTTGTAAACAAAATTGACACGACTGACTTAGTAATTCCATTATATCAGCTAGATGTAAGGCAACCCATGGTATCTTTGTGACAAAAAGCAATTTAGGAATGAATGTACCAAATATTCTAAAGAGCCAAGCCAGTCAATCCCACCCAAGTTAGTATAACACATCGAGAGCAAGTCAAAGAATATGGTTCAACTTCTCTGTGTGAGCACAGATTATATAGTAAAACTGATAAGAGACTCAGGGTACGCAAGTGAGTTAGAGGGCAATTAGTTACAGCAACTCTGAGCTGCCTGTATGTTGGGGGAAAAAGGCCCATGCTATAGAAGCAGAAAGCAAAGTTTCTAATGACTCCATATATTTCAGTTTGTTATTTGATAAAATATTTTATATTTAATTTTATGAAAAATAAATCATATAGATTTTACTACTGATATTGCTTTGATACTTTCTTCCATTGCCAAAGTGATAAAACCAATAACACTGTCTTGAATCTGTTCAACTATTAGCTTTTACATATTGAGTTTAGTAGACCACACACAGCTACCTCTAGAGCCCATGCCTTACTTTCCCCAAAGGGGCAAAAAACTTTGCAGGATCATTTGGTAGCAGTCACTTTAAGAGATCGTTGGGAAGGCTTGCCTTATACCCATGAGAGAAGCAGAATAAGCCTTCAAAGGCCATGTTCCAACTCACTAAAAGATGGTTAGCTGATGATAGGAAAAAAAAAAAGTTTTTTAAATGTTAAGCTGGCAGAAATTCATTATTTTCTATAGAGTTTCATCATGGTATTTCACTGTTAGCCAGATCATTCAGCACTGAGGACTTCATCTACAGAGACAAAAAGCCTGAGAGAGCTTTCCTTCAAAGTAGTAGTAAATCTGATCAACGTAAAAATCTGTCCCTTTCCTCCACGTAGTGTATTCTAAATCTCTCCAATGAGTAAAGTCAACACCACACCAAAAACCTCATTTCTAAGACCTGCCACACAGCTTATCTGAAATTTAAATGAAGTTTGCAACATAAGGAACCTGAGAAGTAATCAACTGTGCATTCTCATTTAAAAAAAACAATACATATATTTTAGTGCTTTTACTACAAGGACACCATTCGCACTTTTCAAACATTTTCAAACTTAACTAATCTAGATTTCACATGCCTTATTTAAAACATTCTGTAAGATGGTCTACACAGACATCGAAACAGGCTTTTCCAACTACAGATCAGTAACAGCTTCATTGTTTCCAGTGAGTTTTTATTGGAACTAGGAAACTGTATTTTGCTTTGGGAAAGGCAAGAAGTTTAAGCTGATCAAAATGAGACATGTCTTGTTAAAAAAAATAAAATTACAGTATTATATACCACAAAGGCTACTCAGCCACCCTTCAGATGTAGACAGAGTTTGTGAAACCCTTTCAGATTCCTTCTGTTGCTTCTGAATACCCTACAGAGCAGCGAGCTACAAATGTTAACAGGCCAACATTCAGGCATTCCAAGTGTTACAAAGCCAGCCAGTGCTGTATTTGAGCCTTTGAAGGCTGTGAATAACTGGGAGAGATAAGGATGCTTTCCAGCTTGTCCCCATCCTTTCTCTGTGAGAAAGGATCATGAGACAAGTGTAACCACCTTCTGTGGCTGCAGTTTGTGTCCCCTGTATATATCATATTGTAGACTCTGCGCATCCTATCCAGCATAAATTAGTGTTTCTCTAATACCCCAGACAGGTCCAAGGGATCTCAGGGAAGGGGTTGATCCTCTGATACTCTATGTCGTAAGAACCTTTGCAGACCTCTGAAGGGGAACCAGATGAAGCAGAGAAGAGGTCTATGAGACACAGGATAGGGTTATGCATCCCTAGCTGGGACCACACAGCAGTTCTTTGTCTCTCAGATCACTTGTCCATCATGGGCCTTTAACCTCACTGCTGCAGCTCATTCAGCTCCAATACAACACATCTGACAAGCTCTCCCTCCAACCTAGAATTTGGACATGGGCCATGTACATGAGGAGCCAGAGCATACAACACGGGTTGTGCATTCACAGAATGGAAGAAAAGATGGATCATCCAAATAGACTAAGTGAATAATCAAGAAATATTTTATTGTACATGTAATCAAAGATTAAAAAACAGACAGGAAGGAGCAAGGGACAGATTTATCTAGCATCTCTTAACTATGCAGGGTACAGAAATACAACTAGTAAAGAATTAGCACATATTAGTACCCTTTGCTCCCCTTCCCTGCCCTAATGAAGGAGGTTATACAAGCGAGATTAGTTATGCTTCAAATCGAGCCTTCTCAGTAATTGCACAGTTGAGCTGACATAGTTGAAGTATGTTCAGTTTCATGAGAGTATGCTCCTTCAAAATAGTTGTTTATAAACAAAAACACTATCTCTTTAGTGGTTTGTAAGCATTACTCATTCAACACCAAGAGTATAATTAAATGACTAATGATTTAGCAGCCATAATTGTCTTGTTATATCTGAACCAACACTATCTTTTAAGTATATCATTATAGAAAATAGATTCCTTAGGTTTAACAATATGTAGTAGAGAATATATTATCTAGTGGCAAAACCGTAATGTAAAGGAGCAAAGGAAGTATTCACAGGGAAGGGGGGGAGCTGCATGCTCAGCAGGGGGCACATTGACTAATCAGAACTAAAAAAAGCTGAAGCTCAGGAGTGCTAGCTGCAAAGGAGTTACACCTCAGTATCATTGGTGTAAGTTTCAGAGCATCTGGTTTGAAAAATATGCTATTCATCCCACATCTACATCAATCTCCCAGCTTAACTCATGACCCTAGATCCTCCTTACCTACCACAGTAGGATCTGAAACAGTTCTAGCAATGTAACTCCTGTTCTGCCTTACATGCTGCAAGGAAGAAGGCTTCCATTCTCTTCCAGAGTCAGACACGAAGAAGTCTGAAAGTGAATGCAGAGCATTATCAGGGCTTATTCACCCCTTCAACCACTCATTCCTAATTTACAAGGGTGAAGGCCTTCAGAGCAGAAAGCTGCAACTTTTTTCTGGTACAAGCTGATTTTCTCTCAATAGCTTAGAAATAAACCTTCACAAAAAACCACAAGCTATACAGCATGTAGCAAGAGATGAATCAAATCAGTGTGACAAGTGCTAAATCCCAAATTGAAGGCAAGACAAGTTTTGGGATTCCCACAAAAGAGGGATTTGTTTATTCTTCAGTGGCCCAGTAAGCCTAGCAAATTAAAAGACTCTTTGCAAAACATCCAGAGGAGGCCCATGGAAAGACAGACAAAGCCAGATCCAAAATAACAGTAACTAACACATTTTGGATTCTAATGCCCTTTTGAGACTATCAGCTTTTTTGGCTTAAAATGCAAGTGAATCATGACATATTAATGACACCATGATCTTCATCTATTTCAGCCTACAACATGGTCCAATGCAGATTATTAGTGTCAAGTTACACACCTAGGACTTGAATTCACTAACACTCATAGCACCACTTGATTGTTGCTGTAAAGACAGACAGTCTAACCCTTAAGTCCTCTGCCAGAAAGAGTCTATTACCTTTGACAGCTGTGCAACACCACCTATTCCGGGCTTGCTGACCAACCCACATTTTTTGTCCTCACACATATGCATTTGCTTTCAGAAAAATCTAAACAGCTCCAAGCTTAAACTGTGACATACTGCCTTAGCTTTCAAAGTTTCAAAATAAGTTCTCCTTACAGTGTTCAAATGTAGGAGATCCACACAACTGACAGACCAATTTATTGACAATATCTCACTAGTTATTTCCTGCACATGCCAACTGCACAGTCATAAAAGTCTCTCAGCTCTTCTTCATACTTCTCAGCTTTGAAACAGGAAAGGATCAATACAGATATCTCAGGACTAACAGACCTAGGTGCAGGGAAAAAAGCAGCTGTTTTGTACTTCAGTAATTATTGCTCAGTATTTATCCGTTTTAAGCAACACCAAGGCAGTATTTGAATTTATGCTTCACTTTAGCAGAGACAGGTTCCCTACCATTGTATAAACATCAGCCTTTCCACAGGAAAAAGTCTCCAAAATTTAGCTGGCCATTTTTTCTTAACCATTTACCAAAGCAGATGTGCTTAGCTTCCCATTCTAACAGCATTATAGTTGTCAAGGTACATAGCTCATACTTACGGCCTGTCTTTAAAGTACAGTAGTTGGGCTGCACGTTTTCGTAAGAACTACGGAAGTTTATTAGCTATGCTAAAACACTACTTAAAGAGCCTAGAATTGTTCTGAGACTCACCAGCTACCTAAACAGAATAGCTGTCCCACAAAAGTGATTTCACTAATAACGGAACTTGAACACAAACACTACAAGAAAGCCAATAAAGGAAATCTTGTGTGATCAAAGGTTCTCTTACTATCTCATCTGAAAGAAGCTACCTGCCACTTTGAAGTATCTCCTCCTTCCATAGGAATAACCAACATACCTTTTGGAGGCAGTTTAGACAGTGACTGCTCAAAAGTATTTCTATAGAACTGCTTTTCGGAAGAGAGGATAAGTTATTTTACTATTTGCACAAATTGAATTTACTACACTCATTTTACTCTGATAATGTTTTAGCTACAAGGTATCTGTACAAGATATATCAGCAGAGATAGCACATTGTTAACACTACATATGTAAACCAAGAAACAACAGGTCCTTTCATCAAGGTGTCATATTGCAGGTAAGCCATTTTACGTTAGTCCAAGAGGCTGTGAAACTGCACTTCCACACCAAGGAGATTCCTGGTGAGCCCAACAGAAAAGCCGTGCTCTACAAAGGTGACTGTCCATCCTGGAACAGCAGCAGGGGACGAATCAAGCAACCAGTGTTTGCAGTAATATTCTTAAGAAGGATTCCATTCATTCGGTGCATATTGCTGTACATAAGGTGCATAAACCTGTCAGGTATGAGATCAGCGTGAAGAGAAGCCAGTTGCAAGGCTGCAACCAACTACTGGCGTCATGTCCCAGATCTGGAAGAAAATATCGTGGAGAATTATATAGTAGTATTATAAGACTTCGGAGGTATTTCTGTAAGAGGCATAGAAACAAACATAAAGACCTCCCTGGGCACAAGGTAACAAATCCTGTTTAAACTAAACTTGAGGAAAATGCCATAAAGAGCTACATCAGCCTTACAAACCAAAAGCCAAACTTAGGGCTCAAGAGAGTCTTCTGGCAGTTCTCTGTAGGTCTGTTTTAAAAACTGCCACGCAGTTTGTTATAAACATGCTTACAGAAAAACAGGGACAGACTGGAACAATCTCAGTTCTGACAGGCATGGTGGATGTATAGCTTAAGCATAGCAAGACTCTACATCAGCCTGATCTCCATGTCACTGTCTCATAAGGAGGGCTTTTAGTGGCAATGCTCCAAGAGGCCAACGAGCTCAGAGTAAAGGAAGCTTGCATGTTTCATCATGTCTGTGTCTTTAAGGCTGCTGGCAGATTCTCCTACTGCTGCCGCCTCCTTTGTTTGTCCAGAGGACACCAACAGTAACCAGTTCTGACAGCTAGACTCCATACAGTGGAGTTACAGGTCATTTCCTCGTTCAGTGGCAGGAGGAACAGTCTGCAACAAATACAAATCTTGCTGCCCACAACAGTTAGCTTTGTAGCAACAGCTGTCAGAAAGAAAAAAAAGTATATACAAACATTACTTGTCTATTAAATATCCCTAATAAATGCAGGAAAGAGGTACATGAATACCTTCACAATCCGGTCACTCCCACAAGTCACCATTAGCCCTCTAGAGATGTCCATGGACATGTGTGAAATGTTGTGTTTTCCTTCATGAAAGGTTGCCAAGGAAGTACGGCTGCACAAGAACAATTCAAATGAAAGCCAGCTATCAGATGAAGCTTGATGGCATCATTATAGCAGTGCAAAATAAACTTACAAGAAAATTAAGTTGCTCAAGTAGCAATGAATCAGTCCCAAGAACTGCAGTGCCATATTAAAGGGACAGAATTAAATTAGCAAGTCATGCTAAGGCATTGCTTGTGTAGTTACATAGGTGTGACATTTCCTAGTCTTCTGCAGACCGACTGTTAATAATACTAGAACAGAAGTGGGACACTGCATTGGTAAATAATTCTACTCTTGGTTATAAAATCAAGCTCAGCTACATTTTTTCTTGCTGGCTATAGGGAGTCAACTAGGGCACAGCACCTCCCTTTTTTTTGAAAAAACCCAAACAAACAAAAAACCCCACCAACCAAAAAAACCCAACAGCCAACAACAAAACAAAAAAAAACAACACCCAAACACCTCTAAAACTGGCACCTGATTAGTTTGGTCCTTTAGCACTCCAGGTGTCCAAGGAGGTGGTGACAAGACAGTGAACAGTGAAGTGCTGCTCACATCAAGATAAAAAGGGAGTTCCTTCATTGCTAAGATCAGTTTAATGAGACAGCAAATGATGCTTAACCCAATTTGCTTGCATGGGGAAAATAACATTGGGCTGTGAAGAACATTCCCGTAGAAACTGTTTTCAGTAAGCATACACAAACTAATGCATATATATCCTGGCAGCTGTGATGCATTGTCAGGCATCCATTTAGCAATTTTAAATCCAATCAATAGCCTTTACCTAAACAGAAATCTTGAGACAAATATGTTTTAACTCCAGATCTGGGCCCATGGAGAAGAAGAAATAGAGTGGATAAAAAAAGTTGTAATACCACATCTGATCGAAATCAGACTGCAGAGCCACTTGAGGGATCTCTACCATTGTAGTGCTTTGCGTGCCCAAGGCAAAGGTGTCCTGTTAGCAGACAGTCAGCTAGGCACGTTTGTGTAGCATTGTGTGTGGATGTGGAGCAAGCACAAGTGTTGTGTATTACTTTAAAGTATTACTTTAATTTATTGCTCTTTAATACTCACTCTTCATCCTTGATTGACTCAAAACAGGAATCACAGACACGGACCTGGAACTCAAATCCCATGATCGGGTAACTTGACCGTTTGGTACTGCACTTGCCACACACTGCTTGCCCACATTTTCTGCAATGATGCTTCATGGAGGAAGAAGAAAAACAAACAAACAAAAAATCACTATATTGTGCCATTTGACCACCTTACCAAGCGTTCACTGAGCAATAACAATGCAGCTTCTGTTTTGCAACCTGCTAGGAAGCAACCTGTTAGGTCTTCTGTTACTTCAACCTAAGACCAAGGACTCTGGAGTTCTGAACAGTCTTCTTGGCCACTAATGGCTTTACATCCATATTCTCCCTGTCCATCCTCTTCTCCTTTTGCAAGCTCCTTTGGGAGCAGGGGAAAAAGAGGGTTGAACAAGCAACCAAGGAAATAACAGTCTAAGAAAGCCAGAAACAGATAGAAGTGTCTTGGTGCCTGTCCAGTCCCTCTGAAAAGAAAGCTATCTGGAAAGCTTTCACATTCTAGCCCAGTAAAAGCAGGGCCATCACTGCTTCACTGAACTGACTACTCTACAACATGTTAAGGCTGCCATTTGCTCAGTTACAGGGCATCGTGTGCCGCTTTATAGAACACTTGAGGATTAGCTGTCCACAGCTCCAGTGCATAGAAATATTCAGAGAAATCCAACAGAGCACTCCCAGCACAGCCTGCTTTGCCCCATGACAGAAGTTTGATGCAACACTTTCCACAGAATTTGGAAATTTCTTAGCACTGCGTAGAAGCTGTGACCTCTCAATAAACCCTCACTTCAAAGCGGCAAAAATACCAACAGTTTAAAAGATCCAACAGCTTTAGTGGTTCTTCTGTTTGCATTTTGCTTAAGTCCTGAAGTACAGCTAAGCACTCAAACCAGCTATCTCACCTGTCTCAACCCTAATGTCTTTGTGTCCCACATTTGCTTTATATTCCAGAAGAAAGGTTGTTCACACTTCTGACAGGAATCACTTTCTAGCCATTGAGGAGCCTACAAAAGAAGAAGGGAAGCAAGCAATCAGAATTATTTTTCCTCATACGACAGCCAAGGAGGTTTGTTTTAAGAAGCCAAAGTAAAGTTTTACTTGGAAAGACGCCCTGTCTCAGCTCTGGACATTACAACAATAGATTGCCTAGGGCATAGTACATAGGAAGTTTAGTACAAAAAACCCCAAACCCAAGACTACAGTTATTTGTAACCTACACATCTCCTATACTTTTTAAGCCCACAGCAGTATGTTATGTTACTGCCTTAATAAGAAAACTAATTCAAACATCTAAGTTATTAAACTTGCTGCAGGCATTCAAAGACTGTTGCTCTGGTTGCCTAGATGATTTTTAACGGCTAGTGTAATCCAAGTTGTAGAAGCTATGAGGCAGTGTTCCCCTCTAAGAGGGGGCAGTCCAGAAGTAAATATCTCTTCTGCTTCCCTAGGATTGCAATCTGAAATAATTAAGAACTCATCTGCATTTTCCATCCTGCCCACACCTTCATTAAGCATCCCTTCTCCCATCCACATATTTTTCCTGCAATAAACGGACTGGGCCAAATGAAAACAGTTAGAGCTTTCACACATTTCAGCACCCTCAGGTATTTTAACTGAGCATCCTTGTAAGGGATAGAAAGAGAGGCACAATATTTTTAGTATACAGACTTGAATTAGAACATGTATATTCTATACAACTTCATACATCTGATGGGGGAGCCTCCCTGAAACATGACAGGAGGAAAGCTGGAACAACAAAGAAGCTTTTCTCCTCGATTCACTTACATCCATTGTTGATAGTAATAAAACAATCATATTGTCAGTTGCACTACCATCTCACCATGAGTATTAATGCAGGATGCCCAGTTCCTATATCTTCAACCTTGATTTCATTCCCTTCCTTCCCTCATGCTAGTGGAAAATCTGTAAAGGGTAGTAACAAGTCCAGTGTGGGGCATGGGGAGGAGAGTAGAGGAAATGAATCACCTCTCCACCAAGTGAGATGTTCCATATTGCTTCTTTCAGTCACCTACAATAGTAGTTTTCAGGTAATAGCTTTTTTTGAGAACACAATCCACTTTCTGGGTCCCTCTACCAGAAAAACAGAGTATCTTCCTATTCTTTTCATCTTAATTTCAGGCATTAAGTAGGAGGTAAAAACCTGCCAACACTACAAACACTATTGCCAACAAACAGTTGGAAGTGCCCAAGATCCATAGTACTCCATAGCTGTCAGTGGAGTTACCATTCCTTCTAATCAAAATGTCTGTCTTCCAGTCTTAGGTGCATTAGTACATATTTGAAGATACCCCATAACATGACTCACTGGCTAATGCTTTAAAGGCAGTATGTTCACCTTTCTTCAAACATTTAGTTTCTTTGCTTTCGGAATGGGTTTCATTATGTTTTTCCAATGAGTTCTGAGACATCACAGCTGTCCTAAGTTAATCATATTATTTTAATTGTATTAAAACTGTCTATTATTTAGAAGATCCTTTAATTATTGTATGCAGATCCAGAAGAGAAATGGCCACATCTTGTTTTCCCAATTGTATTATAAGTCAATTCCTTGCAACTAAAAAGTTTCATAATATCACATAAGTTTTGAAGAGAGATCATCATGCTGAAAATGGAGCACCTCATACATCATTCAGTGTGTTTACGCTGACAGCTCAACACATGTCAGAAAACAGTTCTTAATCATGACACTTGCATTTAAGGAAAAACAACATGGCAAGGAAGGCTGAGCCTTAAATATTGCTTTATGGGGGCAACCAAAACAAACTCCTATAATTATGGTTTAACCAAAGATAGTAGAGATACATCTTTTCAGCTCCTATGATGGGTATGAACTGATGCAGAATGTGCATGGCAGGCTCAGTTGCTGTGTATTGAGGCCTTGAAAAAAAAAAAAGTTGTCTGGGGACTAAATCTCTACATTCTGAAATGCATCTCAAAACCAGCATCTCACTTCTTTACCTGTTTTGACATGGCTTAATATACTTCAAGACTGTTGAAACACAGTCCATTGGTTTCTTTCTGCAAAAGCTTATTGATTTAGAGTGTTGCAGCAACAAGGGTTGTAGCCATTCCAGTGAACATGTTGTTTCATTAAGATGACTCTAAGAAGTGCCATGCCTGTCCTGCACTTCTCCTGTCCTGGGAATCCATCTACTACAACACAGTATGGACAGCCACTAGAATAGAGCAGGTTCCTAGGACATGATCTTACCTCTTCTCGGCTGATATCCATGTTCCAAACAGCAATTCCCCCATCAGCTGAACAAGATACCAGCTGCCGTGTCAGTTGGATGTAACAGATAGCCTGCACCTTGTCACTGTAAACAAAGTAGACAGTATTTACCCGTAGGTATTTAAACAAAGCTTAGTTTCCCAGCAAACCCCGATTTATCCTTGTAAAACTACCTAGGAGGCCAAAACTGATCTCCAAACAGTTTGCTAAGTCTTCTAATTAGAGCTATGAAGATGAGTGAACAGATGCTGTCACCTAAGCATGACCCTAGCATCAGGATGTCGCCTAGAACAGTGTTCTTACAGGCTTGACCAGAATACCAGAGGTACAGTTCCATGTAACATTTGCTGGCAGTAAGCCTTGACAGTGAGCTGAGTGTCAATTGGCTCAGAATGTGCGTGCAAACACTCTTCTGCGTTGGCAGGGAGACCCAGTTATCAAAACAGAGACAACTGGAAAAATAAAGAGAATTATTTGTTTCAAGATACAGCTAGGAAGCAGACAGAGCTTCCACTTTTGCTAACAAATCACTGTAAGTAAGTATGTAGCTGCAAAGCAAAGCATGCATTCACCAATAACAGTTTAATCCTAAATAAAGTAATGGAAAAATGAAAGTCTACCCTAAGAAACTGAACAAAGGATCTCAACAGTATTAGACTGCTTTGCAACATCTAAGTTGAATTTAAAAAGCCATTCTGCTTCTCAGAAGAACTTACTTTCCCATTCAGTATGAAGTTTGATGCTAAATGTGATGTTTGAAGAGAAACTAATAGTGTTATAAGTCTTCATCAGGACACACGATGCAGCAGTATAAAGTCCTCCAGTCACTGACTTCAGTTACTTTTTTGTAACCAGTACTCTATTATTAGTTCTTTAGCCATAAAACTAAATCCTCAAGATTTAACAAAAGTTCTAGGGCTAAGGCTATCAGTCTTGATCAAAGGTGGATGGAGACATCTATAGAATTAGACAAGAGGAGAATGCACTATACAAATACATCTTTAAACATAAACAAGATCTCTACTACCACTGCATTTCTAAGTAGAATATATCTTCAGTGGTGAACTGCCTGTCAGACTGAATTAAGGCCCTAGATTTAAAAATGGCAGCTAGTGTTGTGTCTCTGTAAAAATAGAGAGTTGATTAAACACAGAAAACTAACTAACTAATCCACAGATCAGTGGAAATATGATATGCTTTTCTGAAGTTGAGAGACCACCTCTGTAATTTAGTCAATCAGTTTATCACCTCATTGATAGAAAGAGACAGAGAACAGGAACATATTGAAGCTTATTCTACATGGGTACACAAACATGCCTAAACGTTAAGTTTTTAGCCCCACCCTCACAGGCAATTCAGTGAAGTATTTACAATACAGAAGCATGCAATTTTTACGTAAAGTCCAAGCAAGATGATTTAGCATTTTTACCCACCTCCTTCTATAACCTATTTTTATGTTATGTTCTCACTACCCATGGTTTAGAAGTATCAAACACGAGCAAAAAAAAGATTTATCAGTAATGCTTTCCTAGTGCTGACTGTCCTTCTTCCCCTTCAAAGTCCTCAGAGTTCTGCAAAAAGTTGTTTTCTCCATTACTTACAAAGATTCAAGTTATCTTGCCATGCTATTTAGTCTTCTTGACCCTCTGTGTTCATTATAGAACATGTAGGAAAAATAAGAGACCATTACATACTGATGTCCCTGGAGCAGCAGTGTTCGTCCCTTCCTTCCACCAATATCCCACATGATAATGCTGTGATCAGAGGCACCTGAGAAGAGCAGTCGTTGAACAGGATCCCACCACAGGGAAGTAATACTTCCTAGGAAAGAACATTCTGCAGTTAGATCTAAGAGAGCCACTCCTCAACACAATGATGCTCTTCTGGGTCATTAAAGTGAAACCTGAGGTACTCTCTTACTATAGTAACAGATATTGAAAGCCTTAAGGCAAAGGACAGCACGCAACAGCAAGATACAGTCCTGCTAGAGAGGCAAAGAGCATTTGACAACAGAACAAACCATCCCTAAGAAGAAAGTTAGATGCATAGCATAAGCCAGAAAGTCCGAGTTAGTAGCTTTCTGTTCCTTGTATTTAGCTGGTTGGTTTTAAGAGTTGGCAGGCTGCTATGCAATCTCTGGAAGATGAAAAGTATTAAAACTTGCCAAGCAGAGACTAGTATCTACAATACAGTAAGGTGCTTGGTCAGTGGTTGCAGGACAGCATGCAGCATTCACACGTAAACCAATTCCGTTACATGACCATCTACAACCTTAAAATAGTCGGAATAAGAAACTAAGTGACAGTTTCACTGCTGCTAGCAAATCTAGCCACCACGTACTAAATTACAAAACTAGATTTCAGAAGGCCCAACCTGGCTGTGTACCTCACTAGTCAGACATAGAAAGAAATGAGTCATCTGACACAGCAGTCTTATACTAAACCCATATGCATGGTAATGTAGACAGGAGACTAAAGAGGTAATTTTGTCGCTCATGCTGCCTATAGTTTTGAAGTTGCTGGAACATTTTATTCCCTTACAGACATCCTTCCCTTTAAAGCATCCTCCCATTGCTCAGTTGTCATCAAAAGCCTTGTTAGTCTGAAAGCAAGATGAATGGTAATTACAGCCCCAATCAGTCCTTTCCAGCTCTCTGGAGCAAGAGATTTTTCTTGCCTCCTTTAGGGCTACACCATTTTCAGACTGACCCATTTGGGAATAGTTGTCTCAGAGAACAGTGAGCATCTGCACCATAAAAGGCAGTTTGAGTACTATCTTGGCACTACAGAGTAGGCTGTTAAATATGGAGAGTTCTGGAAGCTGACTGTTGGACAAGCTCTAAAACCATTTAAACTGAAAAGCAAACACTGCTTGCTTATGAAGTCACAGTAAGGCAAGAGCTAGAAAGGAAACAAGATAAAGTCAGACTTTTGAAGCCTGGCAAACATAGCTGCACTCTGAAGAACTAGATGCCATTTAAGTTTAGAGTTACCAGGCCTTCAGAATATTACACAAATACTGTGGAGGAAAAAAGGTTACACATAATCTGTTTTACTTTAATAAAATAAAATAATAATAAAAAAAATGAAATAGCTACAGTTACACCTGTTTCTGCCCACCAAATTTAATAATCTTTCATACTAGACCAATTCTTGTTTGAGGATCACAATCTCCTTAGGAAACTTCGTATAAGCCGAAGTTGTCTGCTATGCAGACAGCACTGCTGAAGTTGGTGCTTGGAAGCCCACTGCAACTCAGCAGACAGAATACGCACTATATGTAATGCCACGTTGAGACATACTGCTTTCAGATTAACAATAATATCTACCAAGGAGTTGCATTTGAACACAGACAAGTGCAAAAGCATACAGAGGTAAAGGAGTCTCTATGGCCAGGAGAATTATTTTGCTCTTAACTGACACAATCTGAAATTCTGCTTGAAAGCAGAAGAGGCATTTATCATTTGAAACTCTCAACTTGCCTCCCACATTCAAAACCAGCTTTATCGTTTTACAGTCATCTGTAAATCAGGAGTCTATCCAGCTTTAACAAAGTCTACTCTGTACTTAAAGCTATTAAACAAGGCAGCCTTTTCCAGTGGGTCAGAGTCTCATGACCCAGTAATTCACCCCTACCCAAACACAAATTAGTCAGCTGATTTGAAAGTTGCCAGTACCACATGGGAAAAGGCATTAAGTCTAGTTTATTTCTCTCAGCATATTATTAAATTCCACATTCTTCTGTGATTTGCATTATTGCCTTATTCATTACATCAGACAGTGACTCATGTTACAGACTATTTGGTTCTTCATTTGATATAAGGACTTCAGCTAAACTACACAAGATGAGACATTTGTCTTTGACTAGACAGTTTGGATTTGAAAAGGGTCTCTAGATTTGCATATAGCTTTGTTTCAGCTAAATATAGGAAACTGAACTAGAATCTCATAAAGACTGATCAAAACAGCAAAGTCTGCATTGGGAAAAATTAAGTGGCTTTTTAGAATCTAGATTGGGGGTTGCTAAAGCTGTTTTAGGTATTAAAGTACTACAAGGTCTCCAGAAAATAAAAAATAAAGTAACACATTCTCATCCTTTCTTTTCAATGTTAAGGAGACTAAAGTTTTTAAAGGTGGCCATCTAGTGGATAACTTGTGTTTAACTGAATGCATATGTTTACCTTTATTTTTCATCTATAATAAAAATACCCGTCAGTAATTTTAAGGCTAAGATTTCCCCTCAGCAAGAATGTGCCTGTTCTTTACGAGACAGTCATATGTACAGCTTTGAACAGCTTTTGATAACTACTGCCCTTCACGAGTTGTTTATCCAATATCTATCCTTAAGAGGCAGATATCCAACTGAACGCCTCATCCCAACTTACAAAGAGGTACTATAATCTGAGTAAAGTGGAATTAAGAGGAGGAGTTACTTTACCTTCATGCCCTTTGAGTGTTGTGATAACCGAGCATGTATTTGGCTCAAGTTTCAGGAGTGTGATCTGTCCAGAATAATCACCAACAAATGCATGCTGAGTTTCATGATCATATCTGAACACCAGTCAAGAAGCCTCATTTGCTCTTAAGAGTTTTTTATGGGACTGAAACAGATAGCACAGCTGCCAGCTACAGAGTCTAAACAAACTGGAAAAGAACACTTTAATATGCCAGACAAATATTTATATAACTACTTCTAAAGGGGTTGGAGACCATAATAGTAAAATCTTTTTCATTCCTCTCTTCTCCTCACATTTCCCCACATGTGCAAGTATGACAGTATGCAAAGTAAGTGAGAAAAGTTTTAGAAAACCCCTGGAGAAGCCATGAGATAATCCATCCCCTAGTTTAAGGCAAGTCAAATAGATTTAGACCATTTCTAGCAGATATTTACAGAACACACTCATGATCTTCTACAAGAGATGCCAGAACTCCTCAGGCTACTTGTTGCAGTGCAGAGCTACTATTAGGAGCATCTCACTGGACATTGGGTGGCATTCAATCTCACCTAGTATCTGCTCCTATAAACTGTTAGCGTTCTAACATGTTATACTAGTTGATGCCCCCCAGTATAGGAAAACTAAGATACAAGGATGTTGATCCTCCACAGCTAGTTTACCTTACAGCGGAAGCATACTCCCAATGTTCTAGCTACTGAGAAGGTGAGCTCATATGATTTCTTACTTGTTCTCTGCACTTTCAAGTTTACTGATGCAGGTCCTTGAGCATGGTATCGAAGACTGAACTGTATTTCAGAAAGGGTTCTGTCATTTAACACTGACATAAAAGCCACACCACATCCTAACATGGGATCTATTAACAAGGTGGCATGTTTGGCAAAAGCATTATACATCATAACAGTTTTCTGATATTCAGTTTCTGTCACTATGTAACTACTGTCTCAAGAAGCTAAAGCATAGCAAGCTGGATGGAACTAGATCATTTGCTGCCTTTAGAAGACTTGTGCTGTTCGGGATATAAGCAAGAGCTACAAAAAACCATACAGCTGACACCACATAACCCAATAGTTGTGTATAAACTCACCTATCCTCCTGGAGCCACACAAAAACACAAGCAGCAGCTAGCAAAGTAGCCTGTTCTACGCAACAGAAAATATTAACTTTAAAAAGTCTGTGTACCACAAAGCCCACCACCATAAGTGAAAAAACAGAGGTTTTGCCATATTATGACATTCTGAAATCTCTTAAGCCTTCAGAATCTTGAGATAAACAATTCGCTTTCAACAAACGCACTAAGTCCCTGAACATGCGACCCTTTCTTCATCTGGCAAGTTCAGGCTAGCATTATCCTCACTAATCCAGTAAGGAATACGCACTCTGCTGTATGTTTCAGAAGCTTACACATAGGATCATTAACAAATAACTCCCTAAGGAACTTCCTGATAGGGAGACCAAGCACCTAGTTCACACATCAAAAAGCCAGCTCTTTGAAATACAAATCCAAAGGCAGGATCAATTACAACGCATTTCCAAATGCCATGGTCTTCAGTGGAAATTTATTTTTATCTTGATAGAAAAGGTCATATTCTTTCCTCCATTTTCATAATAAACTGTACCATTATTTGCAATAGCATTAGCTACAGAACCCACTGAATTCAAATAGTGGAGCTCAGAGGCACCAGACTGTTCTGTGAGCTAGACTCCTAACACACACACACCAGTAGTAACTCAGTTATGTGCTGCATTCAGCTGAGGCGAGCTGTACATTAAATGTTTGGGGGGGCACTACACCCCCTGAACTCTAAAACAAGGACAGCAAAAAAGCAACAGTATAACAGTACAAATCTGTCAGCTCTTCAGTCAGTAAACAGGGTCTGCACAGATGGAAGACCTCAGAAGGCTAGACATGCTGCTGGCAACCAAGCTTTCCTCCTAGTTTCTTAGCACTACACAAGTATATAGCAATTCTAGAGAGGTTTTTATTTTTTCCAAGAGATGTAGTTGACCTCTTTCAGCTTTTGAATTGTGCCACTTCTACAACATTACTGCCATTAATCCTCGTACACCAACCAATACCTCAAATTACTGTCCAGCCACATTTAAACTGCCACCATTAAGAAGTGCTAAAAAATAGGTTTAGAATTTAAAGTATTTAACCCATGCTCAAAAGTTCTTATGTATGAACTATGTTTTAAGCTACTGGGTTTGTAAGTCTTTTACATAGGAAAAAGAATGCCCTGAAGTACTTACAGCTGAATAGACAACCAGAGTTCTTAAGCTACAAATGCTGCAGTTAAAAGCAATTTGCAGGAAAGCAAACTGCACACAGACAAATTACTACTAGTAATGAATAAAGTTTCACTATAATCCTAGCTTAAAGATAGAAAAGATTAACATGAGCAAAGACAGAAAAATTAAAGTAGTCCAAAGGGTTTTCATGATATTTTATGCTCTAGAAGCACTCAAATGCACACTGGCATCTGTTGAACAAATTGACCTGCCTAGGAACTATACAGGCCAGGCAAGTTACTGGTTATTTCCACAAGTTACTAGTCACTTCCACAAAATGCTACAGACTAACATCTCAAAATTGGGAACTAGTACACACTGTTATTCCTGTAACTCAAGGTCACAACATCCCCTTCTACTATGTAACAACAGATAAAGCTATTAAAGATCTAATCAGAGTAAAGGTTTGCAGACTTGCAAGAGATTTCATTCTAGCTTTTTACATGAAAAGGAGGGAACAAATTGAGCTAAAGGAACAAAGTATTCTGCAAGTTTCAGGGTAGCAATCATTTTTCAAAGGATACTGTAGACATGAAGCCCAAGAGGTGAAGTAATGTCTCCCCAGCATACTCCCACTCCTGGTGCACATCCAGCTGATACACTTGTCATGACCCGTGCTGATAACCCATTCTGATGTCAGGCAGAAAGTAATAGCAGACACTCGATTCTGATGAGCTGTGGGAAGAAAAAGTTTCTGGCTGGTTTTTCTTAAAAATCAAAGTGATGTGTTCTTATGTTCTAATTCAGAGACACATACGTTGAAGATATCTAAGCAATGTCCTAGAGAGACATTTTTGCCATCATATTACACTTGCCTTTAGGCTAAATTAAAAGATTAGCATTGTTCCGTTTGGTATTTGCCTTCTGAATAGCTTAAGTGAACCAAACATGTCACTCAGCTAATTTAAGCCTTTCTCCCACAGAGAGAGAAGCTGAGTTCAGGCCAGATACCCAAGATGCTCTGATTAAGGAGCAGGCAAGCCCTCAGCTTCCTCCAGTTAGGCCAGGACTTCTGGGGAGTAATGTAACACATCTAAAAACCTTAATTGCTTTCTTTAAGTGCCTCTTTTCCTGACTGCAGGGGAGCTATGCTCAGATTCATGCTTTTAAGTACCTGAAAGTGTATCTAGTCCATGGCATTCAAACTGCTACCTGTGACAGCAACCAAATCTCACCCAGCTTTGTTTAGAATGCTGCCACTAAGCAAGAAGTTACATAAGCATTAGAAATAAGTCCCCCCTGCCCCCCAAGATGCAAGTACTTCCCTTGACTGAGTTGTCAAGTCATCTTCCTTATGACAAAGGGTGTTTTGTTGCTTTAAGAACAAGGTCTTTTTCTCCTAAGCAGGAGTACTGCTTCTATCAGTGTCAGGGAGTCATAAGACAAACTGCACTTTGTTTTGCTACATGATCTGCAGTCTTTAAGAGTTTCCTTCAGGCCTTTCACATTAATATTCCAATTTTAATGGGCAATTGAGTTTTGTATTTCTTTTAAGGATGTGCAGACAAATGCTGAAATTAGCATCTCTATAAATATTAGAACAATCCCTATTCCCCATGTACCAGAAAAATAAGATCTTTTTCATCCCTGTTGCTCTCCTAATATGACAGAGAAGGCAAGGACTTTTCAGCTAGAAGTAACCAAGCCCAGTGATTACAGAAAGTAAGGATGGAGGTTGCAAGTACCAAAATGCACCTCGAGAAAGCTCTTACCCTAACATTCATGCAATATAACTACTCCACTTGAACAGCAAAACCTGAACTTACTAGTTCTGGCTCATTATGCTCTCAGGCTGATGATGTACTGAACTTAACGATAATGACTGCAACTCAGATTCAGCTGGCTGAGGATTACTCAATAACAGAACATTTATCTTATGGCAGTTATCCCCAACTAAGTGACAACTAGAAGGTCACTCAGATTTAAAGCATATTTGGACTTGATTAATCTGTGATGGTGTCCAGTTTCCAAAGCATTTTAGGTGCCTCCCCTTCACACAAATGTTAGTGTAGATACTGGTTACTAGTTTACCTGGATAGGTCTTCACAAAGTTCATCTTATTAAAGTCCTCTGAAATATGAAACTCCTAAAAGCAAAGTAGAATTGTTAGAAGACATACCACAGTGACATAAGCAATATTGATACCCAAAAAAGAGCAGTAACATCACAGGCCAAAATTTGCATAGAAGCAATATATCTCACTAAAAGCTAGCAGTTTCTCAGGCTGGAGCATAGCACACTGACACAGGAACTGTAAATTAAGGTTATTAGTGAGCTAAATTTTCAACAGGAAGCATCCTTTCAGAACCGAGCTCCCTGAAGGGAGATTATAGAAAGAGATAAGATCTCGTTTGTTCCCAGCAGGAACAAAACTGTATCTTGTAGTATTTAAATATCTGAGACTTCATAATGGACAGATTTAAGTGAAAATATTCTCTATTTGTTCCATTAGGCTTACTGAAATTTTAAAAGTCTCAGCTTACAATTTCAGGTAGTTATCACTAGAATCACTATTCTATGTAGCTCTGTGTAGGCTATTCACAGTGGTTATCAGTAGAATCACTATTTATGACACTCATGCAGTACCTTGGCTCCTTATAGGACAGTTATTATTTTGACCTTATTTTCATAGAGAAAGGAAACCATTAAAGCATCTGAGAGTCACAAGATTCCCCTCCTTTGCCAAGAAAAGAGGGGAAGAATACAGACCCGCTTTCTGTTCCACCATATATATCTGCTCTCCAGGAGAGGAACAGCAATTACAGCAAGCATATAGAAAGACAGAAGGAAGACTTCCCATAAAGAAAGGAAACCAACCCTGCCTCTTGTAACTTTAGAGCTAGTGTTGCAATTTCCACATCATAAAAAGATTTGCAGCAAGAAAAATCAGATATGTGTATGGAGAGACACAGGCAGATCCATACTTCTGGCCAGATGCAAGCTAGCTGCAGTTCACAACCCCTATTAGTGCACAGCCATGGCACTCTGCCCAGCTTAATGTACTCCTCAAAATAACTCCTTGATGAAATGTAATTGTTTGGGTCCACTGCTACACTAATGGCTCAATGACTTCTGGAGGCTAGCTGGCTCACATCTAGCCAGAGGAACCCTTGTTTATTTGCAGTTCTCCCATGCACATCTCAGGTGAACTGCCAAGACGTTGAGCCATTTAGTAGTAGCTGCATTCCAAAAAGAAGGGAAAGAAAACAAATTACCAGTTGCCAGCAACACCTGGTGCTCACAGACAATCTAAGCAATTCTAATCTACATTCTGAAGAAAACTCACAGCAACTTACCATGATAGCTCCATTATCCTGGCCTACAAATATTCGTCTGCTGTCATGATGATAAGCCATGGATGAACATGGCGCTGTCAAAAAAAGCAAGCATCTTACAGTTATTGAAACAGAAGTATTAGGATACACATGACTTTTATTAAAACTAATTCTTTCACTCAGGACAAAAGCTGTTTAAGATTAAGTAGCTTGATAGAAATTAGTCTGCATAGATAATGCCCCTTGGTAAGACAGTTAAATTCGCATAAGTGAAGCTGAAGAAAGGTACACTACTACAATAACTTAGATACACTGCTTGGAATCACGTGCAAACATGATTTCCTGCCACAAAGTGCAACTCAGTAAGAGGAATTTTACACAGGCTGAAAGCCTAGCTAGCAGCAACAGTATGTGCAGCTGGTTACACTTAATTTCAGCGAGCTCAAGTTCTTATCTCAAATGGAGCCCCCAGTTGTATAGAAGAACAATATTCTGTTCTTTACATTTAAGGACTGTATCATTACAGAGAGTAAAGCGCCTAGACTGAAACATGCAATTGCATGTCAACTTCACATGGAATCATGTCGCAACATCTCCAACCTTAAGGAGACTCATGTTTTTGAGACTACATACAATTTCTTTTAGCAGAAAACCTCTAAAGACCTACTTCCCTTTTTGAAATTAAGAGCTAAACTAGATATGAAAACAAATGACAACAAAATTACAATAAAGTGTCCTAATGAAAATTTTGCAAAAAAATTTCACTGAAGAATGTCCTCATGAAACTTGCAAAGTTCACAGATGAGAAGGATAGTGTTCTAAACTAACACCTTCTTCTCCAAGGTGTTTTTAGAAATTTAAAGCCAGACAGGACAGCCTGGAATATTACAGTGCTCATACTGCATAAGGACAAGGAACTACCTATAGGCACACTTCATTGTGTATAAACCTTTTTAGAGCATAATCTGAATAGTCTATTTAGAAAACTGAAAAATGGAGCAACTGCTGTAATTCAGACCAACTATTAGGGAAAAAAGATTACAGCTGGCATTTCTTCTAGCTCCTAGGCTACTCATCCTGCAGCTGAAAAGACACAGAACATCAAGCAGTCCAATTCTTTGGTCTTTGTTTAACACTTGCATACAAATTACTGCAGAAATTGTCATTCCAAAGACTAACCTTTGTTTGTAAGACGTTTTATTTTGTCATCGTATTCCCTCTTTTTGTACGTGTTATGTGTCTAAGTAGCAACTCTATATTAAAGAAGTTACAGCAAAGCACCCAGGCTGAGTAATGTTTCAAAATCAAAAAAGCACACTGGCACTCAAGACCTACTCAACACTGAAGCTGCTACTCATTATTGCTTTCTTAATAATCTAAATGCTGGAAAAGAAAAAAATATGCACACCTTGGAAAGCAGAGAATATTCTTATGTCTGAACTTTCAGCTAGTGGTTTGAAAAGCTCACTTATTCAGCAGATGCATTATTTGTCAGCATTTGAGACATCTACAGCTGCAGATCCACACAGTGATTTACCTGGTGAAGGATCTGGTTCTGACAGAATGCTGCCTTAGATCTCACCCACTACACAGCTAGTTTCAAATTAAAGTCTGAGCTAGAGTTGCTGCATAGTTCCCAAATTCATGATCACTGAGTGAATCCAGCACTTGGGGAAATAGGAAAGAGGTATTCCCATACACAGCAGAGGTACAAAACCTATGCTATGCTTGGCCATCACTTGCCATCTCCAGCATTGTACTTACATGACATGGTGTGATAGATGCTGGGCCAGTATTGTCCACTGTCTCTCTTCAGCCATACTCGTATTGTTCTATGTCATGGGAAGAACAGGGAGAAGACAGTTGTAAATAAGTGCATCATCCCTTGCATCTGAAGCAGTTCATTACTTATATATCAGCTCCAATTCTCTTAGCTTTTACTCAAACATAATAGTTAGAGGAACAACATAACAGAAATAATAGTACTCCAACATAACAAGAATAATAGTACTAAGAACAGCCATCCACGGATTCTGAAGAGTTTTCTTCAAAACTATTTATACATTGAGTTTCAGTAAGTAAAAAATGGAAATACTATTTCAGCTTACCTCAGAAATTGCTACATGTTGCATCCGTTTAATTCTTTCTCCTTGGCCCTGGCTGATTTAACTCAAATGTAAGTTGCAGGAACCTTCCAGCTTTGGCAGAGCAAACCACAGCTTGTTTTATAGCAGATTAAGTGTTTGATATGTTTAAAAAAAAAAGTGCAAATCATTCGATTATGGAAGCCTGAACTGTTGAATTTTTACAGCTGCTCTGTGCAACTCATCTTTCATCAAGCCAGATACCAAGTATCAGCCACAGAAGCACCTCATCCTCCAGACCAGCACATTACTGACATCTCCATCCCCAAATATTGATGTATGGATCCATAGAGGACATCATAACTAGTTCAGTATTATTTCCTCTAAGCCATGCCTCTACTCCTTCACGTACGAACACAAAGGACAAGCAATATTAGTAGCACTGTTACTCTGCGCTGCTCCTCTGGCCGAAACACAAAAAGGATTGATTAGCCAGTCAAATGGGAATTGAAAGAAGTTGACAAGACGACTTGGACAGCATGCTAAGGCTCTTCACAAAATTGTTTTTAGTTTGTAACCTTCCAGAATTAGGCCTTGGAAGGAAACAAAATACAGTCTTGAGAACATTTCGCATTATACCACTCTCATGACTGTCAAATCCTGGGAGGAGGTATATACGAGAATCAGCAAGGAAGTGGAAAGTTATTGTCAATTAAAAACATTCCTACAATAGGCATACTTGAAGGGAATCTACATCAAGAAGTTAACAGGACACATGCAGACAGTGTTAAGGTTATTTTAAGTCTACTTGAAATTTCCTCTCCAAACCATTGTTTGCCTTCTGGTTACCGTTTAAATCCAACTTCCTCATTCCTAAATGGAAACCTAAGTGATCTGTAAATACGCGTACCTGGAAACACTGTTAAGGGACTTCATTGAGATGAGTCGTTCTATTTACGTTTAGCTAGAAAAAGGCTTGGTATTGAACATTTTTTAGGAAAAAACTAGGAGATAGATTTGCTAAGTGTCACATAGGATTGCCAGTAAAACTTTAACAAAAAGACCACAGGAGGGGACTGGTATCTTGCATCAGGACTAGAACTTTTCAGGTTGAAGATATAAAGGTAGCATTCTAATTTTGTAAAAAGTCCATTTAAGGGCTTTTCTTTACAACATCACTGAAAAATAAAGCCAACAACGTCCACCCTTAATGTACTACTTTTCCAAAACTTGAAATCAATACAGCTGAGTACACACTGCCTCAAAACAATGATTTTCAGCTTTTGAATCAAGCAACTTTTCCACCAGTTCAGTGGCAAATGCACATGATTCCAGTCCGTTAAATATTTTGCATTAAGACAGTCTCTTAAAAGCTATCGCTTCCTCTTTACAATAATTGACGCCTACCTCATGGTCAGGAAGTTAACACTTCAGAAGAGCAGTTACCATTTCTTGGTAACATGAGAAAATGTAAAAAACAATGCTTCCAAGTCATTCTTGCGATGCAAATGCCAGCAGTAGCATGGGTTAGCACCTATGCATTTTTAATGGCTTTTTAATACGCTTTTTAAAGCAGCTCCATCATACTCAAACTGTTCTGAACACCTCAGATGGTAGCTTTCACCCTTACTAATTCAACCCAATCACTTCTAGCCAAAATCATATAATTATTTTTGATATAAAAAGACTAGGAGTTATCGTAGTGACTGATCTCACGAATTGCTGATTTTCCCAAAGTAGACTTTGTTTCCTCTCAGTATTCTAGTTGATTATACTAAACCATGAATTAATATAAAGGAAGCAAGGATTTGCTTCTTCTACGCAAATCATTTCCTGGAAGTGTAATTTGTGCACGATCATGAAGAACCCTCACTAGAGTTGAGAGCCTAAGCAAATAGCTGCAAGACTTAGCAAAATTAACTTCTGAAAGCTTCTTATTTTGGTTTAAGTAAGATTTAGATTTCACTAGCCTCATGCTTGCAAAGATAAGCTGTAAGACAGCTTGATATCTAATTATACAAAGTTCTGACTGAGCAAAATTAGAAGAGATCGTTTCACAGTAGTCAGCAAATAACCTGTGCCAAAATCCCACTCCTCCTCAATTCTCTCTCCTACAGACCTTTTGTTGTGGTGCATCTCCTTTTGTTAGGACAAATTAATTTGTGAAATACCAGTTCTAGATTAAAGGACTAAAGAAGTCCTCTAGTAATGGTGCTTCCACAGTCTCCTACCACAAAATTGTTTTGTTATGAGAACCACCATATATCTCAACCCTAGAGTCTTTAGCATTCTTCCCAAAACTTGGTCTTTATTTAATGAAGAAGCCTGTGCTCAGCACCTGAGAAGAGCTGGCTACTACTCACTTTTCCTTAAGCATTCCTTACTAAGGGCCTAGAAAGGCACATGTTGACAGCAATATAAAGAAACACACACAAAAGCCATCTTTAAGCAATACTGAGCATGGCCTCACCAATTTCTAAGAATTTTCATTTGCATTTTCTTTTACAGAGTAAGTGAGCACCCAACGGTGCTGGAGAAAAAATTTGGGGTTTGAGAGCAGAGAAAATCCTTCAGTGTTCCAACAATATTTGTGCTTATGCCACAGAAGCTGCCCTCTGAGAGCCAAATGCACGCATGTCAGGGAGAAAGAAGCGATGGAAGATTAGCAGGCGAACCCAAACTTGTTACAATACAAGCACTGCTGCAAGTACTATGCAGCTACGCTAGCCCTGTTCCAAGAACTGCATCTTCCTAACACCTTCAAACCACTAACAATTGCTTTCCTATCTGAAATCAATCACTAACAATTGTTTTCCCGGCAAGAATAGAAGACTGCATTTTTCTGGTAGTCAAAATAAACCAGAAATATTTAGACTGCTATTGACCATGTTCCCAAAACAGTATTAGGAATCTGGTTTAATCACAGTGCAACACAAGCTCAAGGACACAGCTTGCAGTTGATGCTTTTTATCAAATTTCTGCTTACTAAAACATTAGTTTTGACCAATATTTAAGTTCCATAACCAAAAAACCCCCTAATACCGCAACTTGAGCAGTGGTTCCAATGCAAGAGCAGCTGCTGATGGTCATGACACACAAGCATTCAGATGTGCTAGTGACTTTAGAGATCCTGTTAGCCTGTGGCAAATATAGTACCGTCATCTTGCATTTAGGGTCCCTCAACATCCCCAGCTACAGCTGGGAAACACTCACCTTGCCTTAGTTATGTGTCTCCTGAGAACAAGGACAATAAGGCTAAGTCCAGAGATTTGACTGTATGACAGATTTGTGCAGCCCACACTGGCCTACCTCAGCTCCGAGAAAACACGAGCCAGCCTCGAGCAGTCAGATCTAACACACAGCTGGTACCCAAGCTGGCTGCCCAGGCTGACGGACATACTGAAACAATTCCAAACATTGTCTTGGAGCCAGGGCAGGCAAGATGTCTGTAGGGACACAGAGTAAATCATCCTGTCTAGGTAAGTTCTGAGAAAGCTTTACAGATAGCAAGTATCCTGCCAAAAAGTCAGATTGGGAAAATTAATTCCTGCAGGTATTCTTTCTTCCTTTTTTGGCTTCAAAATGTTAAAAAAAGAGCTAGATTTTTACTGGTATTCACATATCTACTATGGCATCTTTTGTACCCTCAAAAAAAAAACAAAAACAAAAACAAAAAAATCATTACTTCTCATTCTAGGAAATATTTAAAATAGAAAGAACTGCAACTCCCCTAATGAGAGAATAATCTACAACATTCCTGGAGAATGTTTGTGCACCAATGTTTTCCTCACTACTTAACTTATAAACACATTCTTCTGACTGGTTGTTATGAAATACTTGACAGCCTTAGCTGTATTAAGATGTAATAAAAAAATACTTTGGCCCTACTCTTTTGGTGCACACAGCAGCTCTTTTGCTTCTTGAACTCTGTACTTTGCTTGCTGCTACCAGCATACTCAGTTACGCAGTACGAACACCTACACCCCATTTACAGCGAACAAACAGGAGAGCAGGAAGTTTGATAACATGTTAAACTGTAGGTGAAGGATATGTGAGTGAGTAGGCTTTGATGTACTGTAGGAGGTATCCCAGCTTAGAGGTACTACAGTGCAACAGTTTCTGAAAGTTTAAAGATCTAAGTAAACTCCCATAGTAAGGCAGGCTACACAAATTTAGCCTTGAGTTCAAAGCTTGTCTTAGAAATCTGCACACTCCAAATGTGGGTAACAGCCTCTGCTCTCCTTGCACAGGTCTGTATCTGACATCAAAACTTGCCCAGATAAAGATGCAGCTGCATCCTTGGCTCTTACCAACACAGTCTAAGCATGCAGGCTGCTAGCCTTCAACATTAGACCTTTAAGTTTAAAGGCTGGCATTGTCTGCTACAGGCAAGCCTCTGCAAGCCTGTACCATGAAATTCCATTCAGGTTTAACTTGGACATGAACTCTTAAAAATCGCTATTTCCTCTTCTCTCCTTCAGGAAGCCTCAAAACAAACTGAATACAAACATGTTAAGATTCAGTCCACAGTGGCACCCAAAAAAGCCAACTTCATCCTGCACAGTACAAAGATACCAGAACCATCACACACAAGAGTGGAATAAAAAGGAAGCTGCTCAGTCCCATCCAAAACCTGTTATCCAACATGTAATACAGAAAGTCATTTCCACAGGAAGAGAAGAAACCAAGTCCATCTTTCAATCAAAGCCAGAAAACATACCCAACACATCCAAGCGTCACTGCTTGCTG